TTCCTTAACTGGCACTAGATGGGCCACAAGTTCCCCTTGTAGTTCAGTTTCTCATGGTGTGTTTGGAGAGACATCCTCTTAGGAAATCAACCTTTCTACAATGGGGCCTATCATTAGTTAGATCCGCCCTTTTTTTCAGCACCTTTCATGCAGCTCAAGACTGTTCTTTATGAAGCCTGACTCTTAAAACAACCTTTCTTGTAGCAATCATGTCTTCCAGATATGTCTGAGCTCCAGGAGTTGGCATTCTACTCCGCCATTTTTTTCCGGATAGAGTAGTCTTAAAATGATACTAAACACACACTGTTTAACTTACATTAACCCTTCTCTTTCTGTATATGGATGATGGCACTGTAATTATTTTAATTAAAAAAAAAACAACTAAGTTTCTAGTCCTCTGCTGCTGGTCACATGTTCAAAATAAAAATAGCCCTTTGGATACAGAGTAAAAATAAATAATTAATAACAATACATTGTTTTAAATTGTCATACAAATATATATTTTAAATCAAATCTGTTATTTTTCAGTTATTATTTGGTAAGAACATGGTGTGGGAGGATATCTGCCAGTCACAGGCTGTATTACACCCCTCCAGCCTGTCTCTTAGAATCACAGGAGGGTGGCGCCTCCATCAATCAAAACATAATTTCCCACCCCCATTGTGTTTAGCTGGTGAGTGGGCATAGAGGAGGAGGTAGGGAGTGTGCTGTCATTTACCACTGTGTATACTCCCACACGTGTGACTCTATAGTCACATGGGCTGCTCAGATGTGTTAGGGAGGAAATGCTGAGCATAGAAACTCATTGAAAACTGAGCATGTACAGTGGTTGCCAAAAATGCTCTGCAAAATCCCCAACTTCATTGGAGACATGATCCAAAGGGGGATATAGAGAACACCAGGATCACCCAGGTTTTTTGCAGAATACAGAAAACAAATCACATAGTGACTGAGTATGAACAGCATGTAATACAGCATTTATTGATAGTTTTTTATGTTGTGGGTTTTGTGACACTTTAAGACTGCTACTTCATTTCCTACCAAAGGTAAGTTCTGCTTTCCACCTGAATAAGGACATAGCTCTTCAACCTTTCCAGAGGAATCAGGTTCACCTCATGTACTAGATGTTGGAAGCACGTTAAAATCACACTTCGAAGCAGCTACAGTGTTCAGACCTTCAGAAGGACTCTTTCTCATTCCTTATGGAGGCAATAATGAATGTTAGCCTTTTGGCTAGTGAAATTAATCGTGTAATTTTACAATATCAGAGCCCTTCCCATAACACATGAGGTCCGGGCACACTCAACAAGAGTGGGTGGCAGTGTCGTGGGAAGCACTCTAGGCCGAGACCATCTGTAAGTTGGCTACTTGGTCCTCAAGAAGTACCTTTTATAAACTGATATAGAATTGCTCCAGCAGCTCTTACAACAGTGGAGTTCAGAAGGGAAATCAGTTCTTCCTTTCCTGATTTGTCTGGCTGGAGAATACACAGAACTGTGCTATGAAATCAAGAAAATTACTGCACACGGTGCAGTAGGGTAGTATGACAGACCCAACTGGGACAGGGTCTTTTGGAGGGAACTGTAGGCTGGTCTCTTGCCTACTGACCATGGGCCTTGACATCTGAGGAAGCTCTATTCTTTGGGAGGTGTACACCTTGGGGGACCTTTTAATTCGGATTAAAGTCCATGTGTCCCCGAAACACACATACTGTGAGAACTGGAGGACCAGGATACAGATTTTGGTGTCTCTGTGCCCAAACCAGCATTGACTGCTTCAACCCCTCTCCTAGACTCAGAGACTCTAAAAGCAGATGTTAATACACTGCTCACTAAAATTAAAGGAACACTTTTTAATCAGAGTATAGCATCAAGTCAATTAAAACTCTTGGGATAATAATCTGGTCAGTAAGTAGCAGAGGGGGTTGTTAATCAGTTTCAGCTGCTTTGGTGTTAGTGAAATTAACAACAGGTACACTAGATGTGCAACAATGAGACAACATGCAAATAAAAAGATGGCCACCACCCAAGTCTATAACTGGCTTATATGGCAAGGACACATAAACAGGCATCACATAGCGAATGAAGGGGAGAGAACAATGTTCTTGGACAACTTGCCAGCCAGCTTGCCAACAACCGAATTAACCTGTCGAACAGTATGCATTTATAACAGGGGTTGCAAATACATATGTAAGCCACAGAGCCACGTCACGGCACCCTGATAATCTGTGGTCCTAACTCTAGAGCCCACCCCTCTTAAAGGCAAATGAGTGCACAGGACCCTAGCATATAGCACAATGGCAGCCAGGACATCCTAGTGCATCCTTTGCCTTTAAGAGGGGTGGGCTCCCTCGGGTCCACCTGCCCTTGGTCTATCCATTAAATACATGTGCCTCTTACTATGGGGGCTCTCATAAATTGTAGAGTTAGGACCACAGATTATCAGGGTGCCGTGACGTGACTCTGTGGCTTACATATGTATTTGCAAATGTGTGCTAACTAAACCCCTGTTATAAATGCATACTGTTCGACAGGTTAATTCGGTTGTTGGCAAGCTGGCTGGCAAGTTGTCCAAGAACATTGTTCTCTCCCCTTCACTCGCTAACCATGAGACAACCCCCAAAACAGGAATGGTTTTACAGGTGGAGGCCACTGACATTTTTTTCCCTACTCTTCTTTTCTGACTGTTTTTCACTAGTTTTGCATTTGGCTAGGGTCAGTGTCTCAACTCATAGTATGAAGCCATACCTGGACCCTACAGAGGTTGTGCAGGCAGTCCAACTCCTGCAGGATGGCACATCAATACGTGCCATTGCCAGAAGGTTTGCTGTGTCTCCCAGCACAGTCTCAAGAGCATGGAGGAGATTCCAGGAGACAGGCAGTTACTCTAGGAAAGCTGGACAGGCTGTAGAAGGTCCTTAAGCCATCAGCAGGACCGGTATCTGCTCCTTTGTGTAAGGAGGAACAGGATGAGCACTGCCAGAGCCCTACAAAATTACCCCCAGCAGGCCACTGGTGTGAATGTCTCTGACAAAACAATCAGAAACAGACTTCATGAGGGTGGCTTGAGGGCCCGACATCCTCTAGTGGGCCCTGTGCTCACTGCCCGGCACCATAGAGCTCGACTGGCATTTGCCATTGAACACCAGAATTGGCAGGTCCGCCACTGGTGCCCTGTGCTTTTCACAGATGAGAGCAGGTTCACCCTGAGCACATGTGACAGACGTGAAAGGGTCTGGAGAAGCCATGGAGAACGTTATGCTGCCTGTAACATTGTTCAGCATGACTGTTTTGGTGGTGGGTCAGTGATGTTCTGGGGAGGCATATCCATGGAAGGACGCACAGACCTCTACAGGCTAGACAATGGCATTCTGACTGCCATTAGGTATCAGGATGAAATACTTGGACCCATTGTCAGACCCTATGATGGTGCAGTGGGCCCTGGGTTCCTCCTGGTGCACAATGCCCGGCCTCATGTGGTGAGAGTATGCAGGCAGTTCCTGGAGGATGAAGGAATTGATACCATTGAATGGCCCCCACACTCGCCTGACCTAAATCCAATAGAACACCTCTGGGATATCATGTTTCGGTCCATCCGACGCCTCCAGGTTGCACCTCAGACTGTCCAGGAGCTCAGTGATGCCCTGGTCCAGATCTGGGAGGAAATCCCCCAGGACACCATCCGTCATATCTTTAGGAGCATTACCCGACATTGTCAGGCATGCATACAAGCACGTGGGGGCCTACAAACTACTGAGTACCATTCTGAGTTGATTTCAGAAAAATGGACTAGCCTGCTGCATCATTTTTTCACGTTGATTTTCGGGTGTCTTTGAATTCAGTCCTCTGTAGGTTGATCATTTTCATTTCCATCAAACGATGGGGCATCCTTACATTCCTAATACACTACCCCGTCCATATCAGTATAGATATCCAGCATGAGACTTTTCCCCATTGAGATCTGATGTGTTTTCAAAGTGTTCCTTTAATTTTTTTGAGCAGTGTATTTTATCAGCTCAAAACAAGTTGATGCTGAAGTCTTTTGCTGTAATTTGTTTATTAAGGTGTGATATGTTTACCTTTGTGTATTTGTCCCACTGTTAATTGAGTCACCTATTGTTTCTGTCTGTTGGCTAGTCCTCCTGGATGTTCCTACATAATGGGATTAGTCTGGTGCCAATTTGACCTTGTTACCTAATCAGTGTGGGATGTTTACCCCAATGTGGAATGCTTGTTTTTATTGTTCACATGGGGACTGCCCCTATTTCTGAAGTGTATAAAAACCTGTATTTCTGTTCAATAAACAGTTCCAGTTGCACTTAAGCTAGTGTCGTCTAGTGTCTTTGGGTGCAATGCCAAGCTATAATACCTTGGTCCTGTGTCCCAGCAGTGAGGAAGCAGTTCTTTGATGGAAACACCCAGGCACTGTGCCAGGCAGTCCATCACAGGTACAGTAGTTGGCAATTTTCTGTCCAATGCATGCTCAATTAGGGCTTGTATTTCAGATCTGGCGCTGTGCTCGGCTGCAGGGCAATTGATGTTGTGCATACATTGGCCAGATACAGCACTAGATCTACGAAAGACAGGAGTCCCCTACTGCACATGCCCTGACAAGACAGTGCAAGTTGCTGCTACTGGGCATGTACTGGCCAGGGGCAGTGCCAGGTTTCAGAAAGACAGGAGCCCCTACTACACATGCACAGGTCAGGCAGTGCCAGTTGCCACTACAGTGCAGTACCAGGGCACTAAAAGGCGGTGGCCCTTACTGTGCATGAAGTGGGAGCACGCACAATAGGGTGTCAACAGGGAGATACTGGAGACAAAGAAGACCCTATAGGCAGAAACTCAACAGAAGAATCTTACATAGGCTGGTAATGCTGTAAAGACTGCACAAAACTGGGGAGAGGAAACAATCGTGAGCTCAGGTACACAGATACATTTATTTATTTTTTCTAGCAGGGTTTAAAATCACTTTAATCTCCACTGCAGTGGTTTTCTCTTTCATCCTTCCCTCCTCTTGTGATCTGAAACAAGTCTGGAGTAGTTGATCTTCCCTGCTAGATCTTTATCATAGTGAGACATGATATGATAAATGTCATCCTCATCCAGGATGATGTTGCAGAGCTTCACCATTGATCGGAACTCCGGGAGTAGGAGGTAACCCCAACCGTGTGTGTCCAGTTTCTGGCAAGTTTGTAGAAGGTTCCTCCAATCCACTGAGGACAGCTGGAGAGAACAGGAAAAATATAACTGTGATTGCTAACAGTCTCCATGATCATACAGTTGAACTAGATTATAGAAGATCAAACTGAAAGGATCTGTCCATCTAAAAGAAGTAATATAGTTGTAGGTTAAGCATGGTGAGCTGTAGGAGTTTAGCTTCTAAGTACAGAAATGGTGGGAGCCCCTCGTAATGGGCACAGCAGGTGTGTAGATCCAGGAGCTCAGCACAGGGATGGTCACCACGGCCATATAATAGGCACAGGACACCTGGGAACACAGCACATGGATGGTGGGAACCAGGGGCGGACTGACCATTTGGAAACTGCCCGAGGGCCCGGGGTCAGTAGGGGGCCCCATGAGATGCCAATGGTACCGTTTTCATAGGCTTTTTTGAGTTTGGGCAAGGACACAGGGGCCCCATGATCCCCTATTGCCCGGGGGCCCCATGAGTTGTCAGTCCGCCCCTGGTGGGAACCCTTCATAGTAGGTACAGAAGGTATAAAGTAAGTCAGTGCCGGATGGTGAGAACCTCTCATATGGGCACAGCATGTGTGTAAACCAGGGGACTCAGTGCAGGGATGGTGCTCCACCTCATAATAGGCACAGTAGATACCTAGACCCGGCACATTAGAACTGGAAAAGTAGGAGCCACTCATAACTGTCACAGCAGGTGTGCAGAGTTCTCATCCACAGAGTCCCTTACAGATAGAAGATCCATTCCAGGGGTGAACTCTCCATGTTGAAAAATCAGGTTTGAGTTGGCTGACCTTTTAAAATGTATCTGAAGCAAGAAAATCCCAATATAGACACCTGTTCTTGGATTAACTGTCTAAATGGGGGATTCCCTCACTTTGGAGAGATATCTCCTTACTTCCTGTTGTGTCTACGGGACAGGAAGAGAAAGGAAATCTCTCCAATGAAACACAGCAAACAAAACCAAGCCAAAGCCAAGTTTGGATTTAGATATACTTTTATACTTCACCATTTTAACATTAAGAATATTGACCCCCAACATTTTTTTTTTTGTTTATATTATTGTATCTTCTAATTATTATATTACTGTAACACTATTATATCTTATAATAACTATATTATTAGATCTTATTATATCCTTTATTTTTAACATTATTATAACACTAATATATCTTATAATTATTATGTTATTATATTCTATAACCATTATATGATGATATCCTATAATCATTATATTATTATAAACACTATATTATTATATATCCTATTATTATTACATTATTATTATTATTATATCCTAATATATCCTTTTAATTATAATATTATATACTAGTATATCCTATAATGCATTATATTATTATATCCTTTATTTTTAATATTATTATAACACCAATATATCCTATAATTATTATGTTATTATATTCTATAACCATTATATGATGATATCCTATAATCATTTTATTATTATAAACACTATTTTTATATCCTATTATTATTTTAATATATCCTAATATATTCTTTTAATTATAGTATTATATACTAGTATATCCTATAATCATTATATTATTTTTATTTTATTATATCCTTTATTTTTAATATTATTATAACACCAATATATCCTATAATCATTATGTTATTATAAACACTATATTATTATATCCTATAATTTTTATTTATTGTATCTTCTAATTATTATATTACTTATAACACTATTATATCTTATTTTAACTATATTATTAGATCTTATTTTTATCCTTTATTTTAATATTATTATAACACTAATATATCTTATAATTATTATGTTTTATATTCTATAACCATTATAAGATGATATCCTATAATCATTATATTTTATAAACACTATATTATTCAGGGCTTTTTATCAGCGGGAACGCAGGGGGAACACAGTTCCGGCACCTCCAGAAGTGAATGTATGTAATGGCATGTGGTGTGTTGGAGGATCTATTGTTGCTGGCTGCTGGGGGTTGATTGCCACTGGGGGCCTATTGTTGCTGGTGGGAGAGCTATTGTTGATGAGGGGGCCAATTAATGATGTAAGGGATTTACTGTTGAGGAAGGGGTCTATTGATGCTGGCTGCTGGGAAATCTATTGTTGCTGGCAGGGGTCTATTGTTTCTTGGGTAGATCTATTTTTACTGGGGGAGGTCTATTTTTGCTAACTGTAGGGAATCTATTTTACAACATTTCTTGATATTATGAACAAATTCCATATCAATTATCTTAGTAACACAAAATATTATGTTTGTTCTGTATTCTCTGAAAGGGGTACTACTAGGGGGTGGAATCAAGGGACAGTGATCGGAGGTGGGTAGTGGGAGGAGACAAGGAGTGACTTGGAAAGGGGGGGGGGGAGAGTACCTGCTACTATTCTCTGAGGAAAATTATTATTATAACACTTTTATATCCTATAATTATATACTATTATATCCTATGAGCATTATATTATTCTATCCTATTACATCTTATAATTATTATTTTATAGAAATCGATTGTATAATTAATATAATACTATTTTATTTTATACTTCGTATATTATTACGTATATCCTCTTAGATCCTATCATTTAATAACCCATTTATTACCTTCTGTCGTAGTTTGAAGGAGATTTCATTCAGACTCTGATCTATGGGCCCTCTCGGAGGGGTCACCGGTTTGACTTTGGCTCCATTCTGTCTGATTGTGGAGGTTTCGGTCTGGTAGGGTTGAAGGAACTTCACATAGGAAATTCTGCAATGACAGAATGAAGACGTTGTAGACATTTGAGTCAATATTCCACCAATCACATGATAGCGTTAGCTTACTTGTCTGGCCCGTGTCCGAATTTGGCAGCCAAGGTGTCACATTGGTGAATAGTGAGGTCTGGGCTCAGCTCCTGCAAGATGTCAAGAAATTCTTCTTTGGTGACACATCCCGAATTCTGAGGGTCCAATTCCTGGAACTGTCGCCTGAGGTCAGGCAGGAGGAGTTTGACCTAAAATACAGAAATATATTCAAACGCCCCAATGTCAGGACCTGCTGGAGGGTTATAACCTGTGCATATTTTTTTTTTCTGCCATCTGTGCCCCATTAGGGGGATTTCCCTTCACTTCCTCCCCCATAGTCAAAACAGGAAGTGAAAGGAAATCCCTCCAAAATGAGGGAATTCCTGGGAATTTCTGCACATTGTATGTAGGACAGCCCATTCATTTCAATATACTGTTCTATGTGAAAAAAAATGCTTAAAAAAAGTCCCTGACCATTTTGAAAAGCTGCCTGCAAATCACTTTCTGTTGTCACCAGGACGAATAAGTGAACTTTCCTAGTGGGGAATCAAATATTTCCTACCTAGTTTCCTGGCTGGAGGACATCCAGCATTATCTAGCTCTGCCCTCCCCAACCTGACTGTCCCTGGCCTGCCTCTTTCATTCATTTGATTTCAATTCTTTCAATCATGGAGGCTCAGTATAACATGTGGGAGTTAGCACATCTTCACATTGTGTGCATTAGTGGCTGCAACAAGTCAGATAGAGGCCACCTCATTGTTTGGCTTGAGAACATCCAGCATCATGTAGCACAGTGGTCCCCAAACTGCGGCCCAAAGGCTGGATGTGGCCCTTTGCTAGCCTTTACCCAGCCCTTGGGGCATTATTCCTAACACTGACACCAAAGTGGGGAATAATTCCCCTAACTGACACCAGCAATGGGACACTTTTCTTCCCACTAATATCAACGATGGAGCCCCATTCCATCCACTAACATCAATGATGGGCCAATATTCCTTTCAGTGATAGCAATGATGGGGCACTACTACTCACTGATGTTGGCCCTAAGACTTTTTCTACCCCCACTGGCCACAATCTGGCCCCCCTAAAGTCTGAAGGACAGTAAACTGTGTTGTTATATCACATAGACATAGGATTCTTCAGTTGTCCAATCTGTTGTCTTGTATCAACTTATAAGTCGACCTCAATGCTCTGTGTAATGGGGCAACTATGTGGCAAATGAGGTTTAATGTTGATAAATGTAAGGTTCTGCACTTGGGGGCTAAGAATATGCATGCATCATACATACTAGGGGGGGTACAACTGGGGGGTCAATGGTGGAGAAGGATCTGGGGATTCTGGTAGATCACAAGCTTAATAATGGCATGCAATGCCAAGCTGCGGTTTCTAAAGTGAGCAAAATCCTCTCTTGTATTAAAAGAGGTATAGACTCCAGAGAGAGAGATCATTTCCTCCGGTACAAATCATTAGTAACACCTCATCTGGAATATGCAGTTCAGTTTTGGGCAACAATTCACAAAAAGAACATTGGGGAACTAGAGAAAGTACAGAGAAGGGCAACCAAACTGATAAGAGGCATGGAGGAGATCAGCTATGAGGAAAGATTAGAGGAACTGAATTTATTCTCTGTTGAAAAAAGGAGATTAAGGGGGGATATGATCTCCATGTATAATACATAAGGGGGGATATGATCTCCATGTATAATACATAAGAGAGGATATGATCTCCATGTATAATACATAAGGGGGGATATGATCTCCATGTATAATACATAAGGGGGGATATGATCTCCATGTATAATACATAAGGGGGGATATGATCTCCGTGTATAATACATAAGGGGGATATGATCTCCATGTATAATACATAAGGGGGGATATGATCTCCATGTATAATACATAAGGGGGATATGATCTCCATGTATAATACATAAGGGGGGATATGATCTCCATGTATAATACATAAGGGGGATATGATCTCCATGTATAATACATAAGGGGGGGGGATATGATCTCCATGTATAATACATAAGGGGGGATATGATCTCCATGTATAATACATAAGGGGGGATATGATCTCCATGTATAATACATAAGGGGGGATATGATCACCATGTATAATACATAAGTATATGATCTCCATGTATAATACATAAGGGGGGATATGATCTCCATGTATAATACATAAGGGGGGATATGATCACCATGTATAATACATAAGGGGGATATGATCTCCATGTATAATACATAAGGGGGGATATGATCTCCATGTATAATACATAAGGGGGATATGATCTCCATGTATAATACATAAGGGGGGGATATGATCTCCATGTATAATACATAAGGGGGGGATATGATCACCATGTAAATACATAAGGGGGATATGATCTCCATGTATAATACATAAGGGGGATATGATCTCCATGTATAATACATAAGGGGGATATGATCTCCATGTATAATACATAAGGGGGGGATATGATCTCCATGTATAATACATAAGGGGGGGATATGATCACAATGTATAATACATTGGGGGGGATATGATCTCCATGTATATACATAAGGGGGGATATGATCACCATGTATAATACATTAAGGGGGGATATGATCACCATGTATAATACATAAGGGGGGGATATGATCACCATGTATAATACATATAAGGGGGGGATATGATCTCCATGTATAATACATAAGGGTAGATATGATCACCATGTATAATAAATTAGGGGGGATATGATCTCCATGTATAAAACATAAGGGGGGATATGATCTCTATGTATAATACATAAGGGGGGATATGATCTCCCATGTATAATACATAAGGGGGGATATGATCTCCATGTATAAATACATGTTCATATTGTTCATATTGTGAACCTGGTGTAGAGCTATTCACTCTGAGGTCATCACAGAGGACAAGAGGGCACTCTCTACATCTGGAGGAAAAGAAATGTAATCTCCAAATACGGAAAGGTTTCTTCACAGTAAGAGCTGTGAAAATGTGGAATAGACTCCCTCAAGAGCTGGTTCTGGCCAGCTCAGTGGATTGCTTTAAAAAAGTCCTGGATTCTTTCCTATATACACAGAATATAACTGGATATATCATTTATAGGTAAAGTTGATCCAGGGAATATCCGATTGCCTCTCAGGAAGGAGCAAATTGGATCATGCTTTGCTGGGTTTTATTGACTTCCTCTGGATCAACTGTGGGTGTAGGATTGTAACTTTTTTTTTTTTTTTAACGGTTGAACTGGATGGACTTTGTCTTTTTTCAGTCAGACTAATTATGTAACTACAGTGAGGAACAGAAGTATTTGAACACCCTGCGATTTTGCAAGTTCTCCCATTTAGAAATCATGGAGGGGTCTGAAATTCACATTGTAGGTGCATTCCCACTCTGAGAGACAGAATTTAAATAAATTCAGGCAATCACATTGTATGATTTTTAAAGAATGTATTTGTCTTGCACTGCTGAACATAAGTATTTGGAACACCTGAGAAAATCAGTGTTAATATTTGGTACAGAAGCCTTTGTTTGCAATTACAGAGGTCAAACGTTTCCTGTAGTTCTTGACCAGGTTTGCACTGCAACAGGGGTTTTGGCCCACTCCTCCACACAGATCTCCTCTAGATCTGTCAGGTTTCGGGGCTGTCGCTGAGCAACACGGAGTTTCAGCTTCCCTCCAAAGATGTTCTATTGGATTTAGGTCTGGAGACTGGCTAGGCCACTCCAGGACCTTGATATGCTTCTTTCGGAGCCACTCCTTGGTTATCCTGGCTATGTGCTTCGGGTCGTTGTCATGTTGGAAGACCCAGCCACGACCCATCTTCAATGCTCTGACTGAGGGAAGGAGGTTGTTGGTCAAAATCTCACAATAAATGGCCCCATTCATCCTCTCCTTAATACAGTGCAGTCATCCTGTCCCCTTCGCAGAAAAGCACCCCCAAAGCATGATATTACCACCCCCATGCTTCACAGAAGGGATGGTGTTCTTGGGATGCAACTCATCCTTTTTCCTCCAAACACGAAGAGTGAGGTTTAGACCAAAAAGTTCTACTTTGGTCTCATCTGACCACATGACTTTCTCCCATGCCTCCTCTGGATCATCCAGATGGTCATTGGCAAACTTCAGACGGGCCTGGACATGTGATGACTTGAGCAGGGGAACCTTCTGTGCAATGCATGACTTGAAACCATGACAGCGTAGTGTTCTACCGACAGTGACCTTTGAAACTGTGGTCCCAGCTCTCTTCATGTCATTGACCAGCTCCTCCCTTGTAGTTCTGGGCTGATTCCTCACCTTTCTTATCATCAGTGATACCCCACGAGGTTAGATCTTGCATGGAGCCCCAGTCCGAGGGAGACTGACAGTCGTCTTTAGCCTCTTCCATTTTCTAACAATTGCTCCAACAGTTGATCTATTTTCACCAAGCTGCTTGGCAATTGCCCCGTAGCCCTTTCCAGCCTTGTGGAGGTCCACAATTTTGTCTCTGGTGTCTTTTGACAGCTCTTTGGTCTTGCCCATGGTAGTAGTTGGCATCTGACCGACTGTGGGGTGGACAGGTGTCTTTGAAGAGCTCAGACAGGTGCTACTAAGTTAGATTAATGAGTGGAGTAGAGGTGGACTTTTTAAAGGCGCAGTAACAGGTCTTTGAGAGCCATAATTCTTGCTGTTTCTTAGGTGTTCAAATACTTATGTTCAGCAGTGCAAGACAAATAAATTCTTTAAAATCATACAATGTGATTTCCTGAATCTTTTTTTTAAATTCTGTCTCTCAGAGTGGGAATGCACCTACAATGTGAATTTCACACCCCTCCATGATTTCTAAGTGGGAGAACTTGCAAAATCGCAGGGTGTTCAAATACGTCTGTTACTCATTGTATATCCAATCCATAAGATTTATACATCACACACAGAAGGTGACGAGTGTATTTATAAATGTATTTTCCCGCAGCAACAAGTCCAACAGTTCTTTTCCAGAAAGAGATTTAATGTTCTCAGCAACAATCCTTAAGACAGAGGTACAGACAAGGCAGATGACAGGCTACTTAGAATATTCATACAATCAGACACCTTCAGAGGACCCACTTCCTCCTGTCACAACCAGGGGTGGACTGACAACTCATGGGGGCCCCCGGGCAATAGGTGATCAAGGGGCCCCTGTGTCCTTGCCCAAACTCAAAAAAGACTATGAAAAAG